ACACATTACAGCAAAGAAACTGATGTAACATCGTATGTGTTATCAAACCTAGAAATCCTTGGAGAAAAGAGCTTTCTAGTATAAAGGAGGAAAAATAACCCATTGGGAACAAAACTATGATGGTAGTAATTCTTCAGCGAAGTTGCACCCTATCCTAAACATCTCTGCAGCTTGTTGGGTTGTCTTTGGGCTCAGGTGGGTATAGTGTTAATGTTACAAGATTGTAGTAGGATGACAGGTTTCAGTGTTGAAGTCAAAGGGGATTAGGGGACAGAGCAGTGAGAGAGCTCTGCTTTAAGCAGCAACTTCTGAGTGCCTTCCTCTAAGCTGTTCTCATCTTGAAGGGTATAAAGTGTTTTCCAGTGATAGGGACTTCTTAAGCCCATGTGTATGCAAAAGTATTTACTAATTAACGTATGTAATGATAAAATAAGTTAGGTTGAAAACCGAAGAATACTTTTCCAAGAGAAAACGTAGCAGAAAAGAGCACAGCTAATAGCCGTGGAAGCTACTAAAGCTATTCAGGACACTTTGGTACTGCCATTTGTGTGGTTTGGGGTGACCTAACACATAATTGCTATGATGGCAGATAGGAGCAAAGTTCTCTGGCTTGTTTTATGACTTACTGTAATTGAAGTGGTGGTCATAACCCCTATGCTGCTTTAGATTTAAGGCTAATACTGTATTGCAGAGTTGGGCAGCCTGACCTGCCAGACTCAGTGCTGGCAGGTCACTTCTAGCTGCTGAGCAGAGAATTTCCCTCTCCACAGTTCAGTTTCAGCTAGGAATATTTTCAAAGCTCTGCCATGAAATCCTGATGCTTTAAAATGGAAGAAACTTTTGGAATACTATAGGAAGTTCATTCTACCTGGATCTTGTGCAGATATACATGTAAGAACAGACAGAAAACAAAAACAACTCATCTAGGCTGGGGAGTTGCATCAGTTTTAGCAACTGTTTCCCTGCTTTGGAGAGAGGTAGCTGGGAACGTGGATTTCTTGGGTGAACTGGCGAGTATTTGGAGGGTGATGGTAAGGAGATAATTAATTGAGGATGTGAACAGGTGGAATAAATGAAGCAAAGAGTATCTGGGTGGGAAAGGGGGTGCTTGGGTGCACGTATATAATAGCTTCAGGAGACTGCAGTAGGTAGCAGGCCACTTGCATGGGAGTGTTAAAGCTTCAAAACTGCAGGATTTGATGCCAGTCGGTTTTAGCGCATGGCTGTGGCATTTGGTAGTGCAAACTGATCTGCTAAGCAAAAGATTTGGCATCTAGCAAGTACCACAAGCAGCATGACAACTTCCAGGCCTGTGCCTGGATTCTATCCTGCTTTGAAGTGTCTGTGTATATAAGTTTCATCAAGTAACTCAAGAAGGCTTTGTGTTACCAGTTTAAAACGTGATGCTGAGGATGTGCCTTGGCTCACTGTGGGGTATCTCTGCTGGTATTCGGGAAGTTAACCTATATGTGAGCTGTGTAATGAGGGGCCAATGTAACTGATTTCACTTAGTCTGGCAGTGTATCACCATAGTACGTAAACCTCAGAAAAAAAGTGACGGTCAGCTACCCCATTTATGCAGACTTTACCTGTTAATGAGGTCTCTACACTCTGCACAAGAGGCTATTTTCAAACATGTACATGCATTCTGGACTGTGAAGTACCCATATAGTGAAAGTACTGCTTGTGTAATGCAGCAAAAGGGCCTATTTGGGCCATTAGTTCTCCAAAGCTGAGAAATGTTGGGGGTGTATTTTCTTATAGCCAGTATGCCAAAAAAAGAGGTGAGAAAGAAAGTGTGTTGGTTGCACCCCATGTGACACACTTAGAAAACAGCTCTCTGACCTCTTTTTTTTGTCTCCTGAGCCTTACTAGCCTATTCCCCTCTCCAGCTAGGAGTGCGTGCACGCGATCGAGATGTGTGCACAGTGCACATTCTTTACTGAGAAGTCAAACCGAATGCAGAATTTCTTCCTGTGGTGGTCTGTTACCCGTGAACCCCAAATACAGGAAAAAGTGGGCTCATCAGAACTTTTAGAGTGCCGTGCTGAGACTTAATCATTGAGTGAGCTTACAGCTGTTCTACAGCTACCGGCCTGCATTAGCTAGCTTACGCAAAGACCTGAGCGTGTCATATGCGTGCCTGCCATCAGTCCTACAATGACCTGATTGCAGTGGGAGCATGAAAAAGAAAACCTCTTAAAAGCAAGTTTTTTTCAACACCATACTGTGTTTTAACCAGCTGAAATGTGTGGGGTTTTTTTTAAGCTTGATGAAGGGATTTTTTTCAAGAATATCTGGTATTTGGTTTATAAACTCTTCATTGCACATAGCTGCAATAGATAGTGCCTTTACTCAAAACCTGCTAATTTGAAGAAGAGTAGTGTGTTTTTGCTTCCCATCACCTCTGAAAAGAAAAGCTGGTTTGAGGGGCTACTAATCCTGCAGTGAGTGATGAAGGAGAAAGAAACAGGCCAAAAAGGGTAGAGAGTACTTAAAAGTGAACAAAAAGGTTAAATGGTACTTAAGCCATGAATGTTTCTTTTTGCAGGGATGCTCTTGGACCAACAGCTTCTTTCTAGCGCTACCTCAAAGTAACTTGCAGATATAACTCACAGGGAAGATTGATCAAATGGTGATGATCCCTATCATTCTGCTGGAGAGATATATATATATATATTTGCCTTTTGTTTTGTCTCATTTTTAATAACATTTATTTAACTTCAGTGACTCTTGTCAAAAGACATTGTGTGACTACATCGACAAGTATTTGAGTCATGAGTGTCATTAAAGGCATGTCACCATATGGAAATTGTTCTAAATAAGTAAAATGGAAGTAAAATGAGTAAATAAAGCAGCACTTGAATTTACAGAGCAAACATAGTGTAGCTGCCTTTGACACATACATGGAAGGGAACACTGTGTTTGTGGGTTACCTTAATATACTAGCATGCATCAGAAAGAGGGAATCGTCTTGTTTCAAATTTACCCAGCTCATGTCCGGTGCAGGAGCCATTTCAGTCAGTTCCCCACGCAGGTCAGCTGTTACTGATGAACCTCCGTTACCAAAGGGCATGGTTTACATCCCTTTGTAAATCTTGCCCTACCCATAATGTAAACACATTTTAGTAGCCTTCCTTCCCCTCCCCTAAGTTGGAATTTAACATAGTGATTGTTTCCTGGGCAGAGAGAGTGATGAATCCAGGATAAAATACTATTTTTTCTTGTATTTTGATTATTATATTGATGTGATATAAAAATATAAATTTTTTGACAAACGTATTTTAGAAATAGAGCCTCATCCTAAAATTGCTCCACAGATGCAGTGCACCAGCAGTTTACAGGTGATGAGGTGGTTCTCGCAGGTGACTTCTGAACCCATGTGATCTGTGCCCTGGAAGGGATTATCCATCCCTGCAAGTCATCCTATTGCACGTAAAGTAGTCTTCATGGTGATAGGGTAGGAGAGGCGGAGGCTACGGGGTTCTGAAGGTGCAGTTCATGAGATGAAATACTGGGAAAGTAATTCCCCCTCTGCTGGGATTTCAGAAATGGTTCTGTCCTTTGGATAATCATTGCAGCAGGGCTAAGAAACTGAGAAGGAGGAAGCCACGTAGGAGAGCTGGGAAGACACCAATGAGGTTAAAAAAAAAAAAGCCAGTATGAAGTAAGAAACAAAGATGTGGCGGTACAAAACTCCCTGGTAAAATTCCTTATAAAAAGTTCCTTCTCTGTTGTTGCTGCCCAATCTGCATTTCTTCAGGCCTTTGGAATCGCCCTCGCTGGTTTTAGTTCCCCTGAACCGCCAAGCGTGATAACACTGTTCTTCAGGTGCCTGCTGTGACAGGTGCTGATGGCGGAAGGGCTGCGTGGTACATGACAACGCTGTTGCTGTTAAGTACCTGCGTCTCGTCCGATGGCAGTAATGGTTCACCCTAAGAAAAAAAGTGTACTAAACGTTTTTACTGTCTTCTGCCTAGGGCGGATGGTTGTAATTTTCCGCTCTGCTCCCTAATTCCTGGAGCAGCTCAGTGCTCTGATGAAGAGATGGAGCCATTTTTTTTCTCAACTTGCTTTTAGTAGATTAAAAAAACCCAACACCTTAAATATTTTACATTTTAAGCACTGGTAACAGAAAAGCATTCTTCCTCTCGTTTTGAGGAAGAAAAAGCTGTGTTGCAGCTTTTTGCCCACCACCTTCCGACCTGCCAGAAGGAGCGATGACAGAGCTGCAGATCGTCGTTCCTATTGCTCCCGCAGACCCGGGTTACAGCGGCATCCCCAGGGAACACCGCGTGCCTCACCCACATCCTTGTCCAAGCTTTCCTGCCGCCTCCGCCGCTTCCCGGCGGGAACCGGGGAGCCCCCCCCCCGGCCCGCGGGCGTGGCTCTCGTTATGCCCGGCACGGTGAGCTGCGTGCCCGGGGCGATCACACG